AAACAACGATCTTTTCATGATGCTAGATTATGAAGATGAAAGGCAGGAGGATACATCCGACATTTGCAGCGCTGATGCAATTCTCAGAAAGGAGTTATTGGAGAGATTTGTACAATTTTGTCAAGTTTCAAGTTATTCGCCTCGAGCGAGTAGTTAGTAGTTATTTAGTGGCGCAGGTTTGAGTTACGACACTTTACGAAACAGGCTTTAACCCAATTCCAATATTTAAATTCAAATACTAAATTAAAAAAAAAAATAACATTATTTAAAATGACTACCTATTCCATTTTTTATTTACTTAAATCATCTAATTTACCCACCTTAATTATTTCTTGTGAGCGCATGGAATGAACAACAAAACGGATTTGATGGCTTGTCGTACCTCTATACGAGTATTAGATATCTGTATATACATACATATGTAGGTGAGGTTAGGCTGGTTGGTAGGCTCCAGTTGGCGAGACAAAGGATCATTATACTCGTAGATCGTAGATCGTCAATCGATATAATGCCGCGTGCCAATCACCAACGTAGAGGGATGCCATTTGATAATTTGGTCCGCCAGAATTCATGACTGCTGGGGAGAATTCGATTTTTTACGCTTCTTCTGGTAGCTCTCTTCGATATACGATATATTTTAAGACAAAAATCTATGCAAAAGAAAAATTTAAAAGAACATCACAACGAAAAAAGTATAATTAACTTGGCGCATTAGTTCGTATTCATACATACATACATACATTTCGTTACCTTAATATACAATAATATATGTATGTACATATGTGCTTACAAGTAGAAGGTTTTCCTACAGTCACTCAATAAAATTTAGGTACATCGATTTTTTTGCAATACGGAGAAGTTTTTTAATTATTTTATTTTTTACAAAAAAGAAAAACGCTGTACCTAAATTTTGATTGAATGTACATTTGAGCACACGTTTCACCGCGGTCCGGCGACAGCACCAACCAATAAAGATCTCATTCTTTACAATTCTACAATTTTGTTCTTATTTTTTTATTTTTTAAGTTTTCTCAAAGCTATTCATGATTAACATAGAACACGTCGCATGAAATGCCTCGTGTATACGCAAGCGGCCATTTTTTTCTGCATCTTGCTGCCAATCGCCACACCACAATGGAATTTCACTTAGTATATTTAACATTTACTTACGTTTTTTACATTCGCTCCATTTTTGCTACTTTTGCAATTTATTTTGTTGGTTTTCAATATATTTTTTTCAGTTTTTTATATAATTTTATTTACACAAAACCACTGTTATAGTCACGAGCTCGAAAAACCATATCACCGCTCACCACGCTGGACTCTAGTAATAATAATGGCTGAGGATTGCAGTATCGTCATTTTTACCACCGATTTATATAAATACCCATGCACCTAGACCAATCACAGCACTTTATCTATTTTGCAGCCCCGAAGGCGACCTCTGGAAGTGCTATACTGCAACATAATAGCGTACTAACGCTAGGCAATGGGCTCTATTGATCGTGCCCGATGCATGTATTCTCGTATCATCTCTTTCTATTCAATGGGCCATATGTATAAAACCTAAGCAAATGCTTTTACTTGAAATTTCAGTCCTTTTACTAAATTTGTTCAAATAAATTTAAGTGAGAGCTTTGAAATTTTAAGAAAAAGCAATTAGTTTCATACAGCCAATATTACCTTTATAATACACTACACACACAATTCCAGCTTTTATGTAAACTTTTTAGAAATGGTAGCGATTAATCGATTATTTTTGGCCAAAATTGAAAAGCGAGTTGACCAACTTAAAGGTCCTACCCAATAAAAATTTAAGTTTGAGCTCAACTTGAGGTTAAGTTGAGAATTAAGGTAATTCTCAACTCTCCAACGTTGTTTCTCAACAGTACCTCAAGTGGAGGATCATAGCGTTCTCAACAAAAAGGGCATTTTTCTTTGTATGAAAAAAGGACTGTTTCTCAATTTGAGAAAATGCTAGTTCTCAACTTGAACTCCAATGTAATTCTCCAATTGGTCTCAAACATATCATTGAAATACTGAAATTGAAATAGTAAAATACCTTATACCTTTGGTAATTTTCCTCTTTATATAGCTTTCGTATTTTACTTGATAATTAAAAATTCGTTTCTCTATCACTTTTTACGTATCTGCGCGTCGGTTAGAATTGAGTTGGAGAATGATGTTGGATATCAACTTGAGAACTATGAATTTCTCCAAGGTTGGAGAAATATTTTTTTGGTGTTTATTGGGTATGCACGCATTGATTTATCGGCGAACCAGTTGGTCAATTGCTAGAAGTTGGTTGTAAATAAGCCGTGTGGTGGCAAGTTGGTCAACCTTCGTCAAGTTGTTCATTTCATTTCGTTCACGAAATTGATGTATTTTTCATGCTAGACATTCCTGGTTGATTTCTTATTAAAATATGATTTATAATTTAACAATCGCCATATAAATCCAAGTTTTGAAACTGTATGAAATTTAGAAGAATTCTGCAAAGTTTCATCAAAATTGCAAACATTTTATTAAGAATAAAAAAAAAAAAATTAGTATACAGTTTAGTAGTAGCCCATTCAATTTTAGTATGTATAATGAAAAAAATTACCAAAAATCAACCCGAATTTTAAGACATGTGAATTTTGC